CCCCAAAACCCCAAAACCCCAAAACCCCAAAACCCCAAAACCCCAAAACCCCATTTATTTACTACCTATTGATTTCACCTAAAAAACTCTTATAAAAAATTATTAAGCTGATTCTACAATAGCTTTCTCTTCCCCAATTAGCTCCAAAAGATATTCCACAGTATCATTGAAAGCATTTTCAGCATCTTTCATATAGAAAGGGAAACCATCCATTTCAAGATATCCATGGAAAAGATTTTTGTATATTTTCCCTTTGACATCTACACCCGACTTTATTCATTTCCTGGCCATCTCAATTCCTGCATCCCTTAAGGGATCAATGGCAGGGATTCCAAACCTTATTGGAGGCATTTCTTTCAGTAATTTCCTCGGTGCATATATTGGAGATCAGATATACTCTGTACTCCGATCTTCGTCATCCAAATAAGATGTGCATCAGAAATCAATAAACATTGCATTTAGATAAGGTTCGTCAATAGATAGTAGAGATGAAGGGAAGAATTCATTCCTATTGCTTCAAACATTAGGGTATCATAGCATCAACCCATCAGGCTTAATACAATTCTTTTGAATTGCAACAAGAGATAAACTGAGCGAAATATTTCCTCCAGCTGAATCTCCAATTAAAATACATCTTTCAAATTTAACACCAAGATATTTCTCTGAGTAATGCCTAATCCAGAGGTAAGAAAGCCATCAATCACTAATACCAGTAGGGTATTTATATTGTGGGGCAAGACGATAATCAAATGAGAAAATCGGGCATCCAGTCATTACTGCTAATTTTCTTAGGACATTCCGATAAGAACCTGTTGAACCACCGATAAACCCTCCACCATGAATATAAATTATTGCGACTGGAATAACTATTGGATCAGCAGTTTGAGAGTTTAGTTTCCCTTTCTTCCAATTAACAGTGCCCCAATCCTGGCTAGATGTCACACGAATCTTCAAGTATTCCTCAGAGTCATAATGCTTCATTTTAACTTCAAAAGGAAGATCGAGATCAAATCTACACATACGTGGGATTTTTGAAGATCTTAGATTATTTTTGTAAGATAATTCGTCTTTTAAAGACATTTTCACATAAATTTTCTCCTCCAGTTCCACCTTTGGAGCAGTAATTTTGCCAATACTTTTCATCAAAGCTGTCTGAGTCCACTGATTCATTCTCTGAAATCTTTCTTTATTTAAAGTATTCATGAAATAGAGTCCTTTACTTGCTCCTTCTTTTCTCTTGAATAAGTAATAAAGTGGTAGCCAACCTGAAAGTGAGAAAGCTTGTCTACACATGCTAGGATGTTTACATGACTTAGAAGCAACAGCTAGATACCTTCCTGCTTCCAAGTATCCCCTCTCAGCTTGATCAAAATAGTCTTCTTCGTCTAATACTTCAACAAAGTCAAGATGATCTTGAATCTCATCAATTTCTTCTTTGCAATAAAAAGGATTGTTTGTCCAAGCTCCGAATGATGAGTAGTAATAATCATAAATGCTTGCAAGTTTAAGGATTGATCCGAAAACTACTTTATATTGATTATTGCTGACTTCCTCATTTTCTAAAATATCCATCTCAGTTTTTATCTTCTCCAACATCTTATTTACTCAGGCAAGATTAATATATACGGCAGGTATTGAAGCCAACTTTTCTCCAGATATTAGTTGATTTAGAAATTCAACACTCGCTCTTGGATGGAGTTTTGAAAGAGTAAGTATGTCATCTTCTAAAGTAGTAGGATCTATAATAGATTCTTCTCTATCACTAGCTCTTGTTATTGACTCTGATTTATAATCTTCCTCAGGCTCATAATCTTCCATTTTAGTTCTAAAAATAGATAACCTAGCTTTAATAGGTTCTTCCTCTATCTCATCATCTATTTTAAAGAAATTTCTAATATTCTCTTGAGTAACACTGATAAGAGTCTTCAAGGACTTGACCCGGTGAATACCGAACTCAATACTATCAGTACACTTTGAAAGGAACTTGTTATTTGGAGCTTCTTCCATAAAACAAATTGCTTCATCATGCACATTTTGATACAACTCCATATATTTAATAAGAAGGCTCTCAAGCTGGTCTTCATCGTAGTGATGCCTGTAAGCGTATGGATCAAAAATGCGACTCTTTTCAAAGCCTTTTTGGTTAACATAAGTAAATTTAGACATTTCAGGCAATATTCCCGAATCACTCATTTTTATAATCTTAGAATATAATTAACTTTTCATTTATTGATATTAATATTGGGGTTTTGGGGTTTTGGGGTTTTGGGGTTTTGGGG